CACCGAATGCTCGTAAAAGTGTTTGGCCTGAGATGATCTCTTCGTAAATTGAATAGACCGGCGAACGTGTTACAGCATCTGAAACTTCGTCAGCAAAAGCGAAACAAGATATACCATATATACCTAATCGTCGGATATCTCGTGCAATTTGGCCGTAAACCATGGCCACTAGGTATCAATTGAGCCTTTGACGAGCAGCATTGAATGAAGCTATACCTTTATAATACAATATGAGCAGGATGATCACAGCGACGAGAAACTCCCATCCTCCGACCACACTGACTGTGACCAATGTTGTGATGGCGGCGAGTCCATTCGTCACGCTACGTCCAAAATTGTCTGCCAAAGAGCTGTCGATGACTATAGAAAGAATGTCTCAGCGTTGAAAAAGTCAAAAAGAAGTACAAACTGTCAAAATCTTTGCCGAAGCGATTGAGCAACCGTCCACGCGAGATGGAATCTGCGAGACGGTTAGCGAAACCTAAGTCAACGAATATCGAACTGACCGTGGAATCGAATGGGAGCGAGTAAGACTGTTTCTAGCAATCCCTTGTGAAGACCAATTGACGCGCGAATAGAACCGGCATAGAGAATGAACCATTGAATTGTATTGAGGGAGAGACCTGGAAGAATAAGTCTGTAAGATGCCTAGAAGCAGTGGCCCTTTGACCCACCAGCAATGTTCACCGCAGCATAGATCCCAATATAATATAGTGAACTCTTGGAGGTATTATCTTCTAATGCAGAATTGGACCACGTTCTAAAAGATAGTCAGCTTGACTTGGACGAGGATCTAAAGAAACTTACTCAAGCCACCCGTTTTCCACAACTGGCATAATGGCGGCCAGTCCAAAAACCAGACAGAAACTGCGCCAATACCAGGGATTTCCAGCCCGAGAAAAATAAGTGGCCCAAACACCTCTTCGAATCCGACCTACTGCCCGCTTTTCTTCTTCGACAAACCTTCTCGGCGGCTCACGTTCGGATTCAAGTTTCGAGTTTGAACGCACAAGTGGAGGAGGAAAATTAAAGCTACTGTCGTACATCGGTGTCGCTTGCTCGTGCTCCAGCATACTTGCGAGATGAGCAGCGATATCTTGAGGATCCAGCAAGGTCGACTGGACAAAGCGTCGCATAATCCCAGATCTTTCAAATGTCTTTGATGTCCCGGAAAACAAGACTCCTCCTTGCTCCAAAGCCACGACATAGCTGGCGCCTGGAGCACATAGTCGAACATGATGCGAAACTAGAATGACTGTTCTGTTCTTCACGAGTTCTCCTTTGAGACATTCATGGTACAGATGATGAGCAGTGTGCGAATCAACTGGAGAAGCATGAATCATCAAGTTGGGCGAGAAGAACCGGTATGCTTACCTGCAGACAAAACATCATCGAGGAACAATATCGAAGCCCTGCTATACACCGCCCGAGCCAGCGATATCTTGGCTATAAATGCTATGAGTTTCATGAATCTCGAGAGGGAGCTCATTCCGACCTTTCTGACCACCAGACATATTGACCTGAAATTATGGTTAATGAGTCATCAAATATGACAATATCAAGCTTACTCCTCTTTCGCCAATTTCAGAATTGTCTCCATCCGCCAGACCTTCCACATCGCCAACCAAGCCACAGACCGCCAGCGTCTTTTTATAGCGCTCGGAATTATATGGCAGGTTGAAAAGGATGTTATCTAAGTCCAGTAAGCTCTATGGTCCGCTTGGACAAGTTGGATTCTGACCTTTGATGGAAGCATTCCGGAGCCAAGCGGTCTTCGTCGGAAGAGTAAGATAAGGAGAAAATGCTGGTCATAAAAACAACTGACCTGTGGAACATAAGCACACATTCCTTCAACGATCCATTCTTCGTCATCTCCAATAGTCGCAAAAGACGCCAATGCATCTGGAGGAGACCGAGAACAAACTACTTGTCCAGAAAGGACATCTGCTTCTCCCAGCAGTGCTGCAACAAACTATGAGCCTCACACGATACAAATGATCGATGTACTTGCCTAAAAGCAAGAGACTTTTACCAGAGCCCAACTTGCCGCAAACCAAAGACAATTCGCCAAGAGGAAATTGCAATGTCAGATCCGTCAGGACAAACTTGCGACGGGGAGTGGAGGCCGCAGAAGGAGTTTTGCTGGACGACGGACGCTCTCGAGGCCAGGTAATTGTGCAAGACTGGAATGCAATCTGTTTGCTTTGGTTTTGGATTGGAGGTACAGGTGCAACCTCGCGCGATGAAAGATATTGCTCTATTCGACGCATCGACACCAAGCTCTGCGACGGAATCAGAAGAAAATTCGAACAGTGGCAACTGGCTCACCTGAAGCATGTTGATAAGAGTTTCTGGGAGAGCGTTGAGGGCGAATTTCAACTCGGCGAAAACGATGATCTGGACGGCCTTCAGATCGAAAAACAAAACAGGGCGAAAGGACCAACTGTAGTAAACGCAATAGATGGAGTCAGATGTTCGGCACGTATCACCGTAAAGTGCCAAAAGGAAACCAAGGTCACCAAGACCGGTGATGCATCCCATATAGTGTTGAAAAGAATCTGTTGCATTCTCGTGAGCGACAATACGATCGGAATCCTCGACCACTGACTTCAATAGTGTAGTTCTTCCGCTGATACTGCAGCTCCTTGTCTCGCACCTTGAGTACTCGAGCCTCAAAGCTACGCTCCCAGGCCATAAATTTAAGCATTCGAATCGCACCAAGAATCTACGATGCAAGGTTTGGGTTGGAGGATCAAATAAAGGATGCTTCAATACCTCGTTCATTAAAGTTATTCTCTCATCGCGAGCTTTCATGAGATTCGCCTGAGACACTAAGGTGACCGTTGGAACAGTTTGGCGGTGACTATGAGAGACTTACGCGCGACGATTTTGCTAGCAAAATGGTTCAAGGGAAGGAGCAGACAACTGACCGCCAAGCCGAAGAAGCAGGAAACACCTGGAAGACGGTTCAGTTGAGGTCTATGCGTCGGAAAGGGCTTACCGAGAAGCTGATACAGGAATATGGAACCGACCAGGATTTCAATTGGTGAATCTGTAGTCGAGGTCAGCGATAAATGGTGGATCTAGGATCCAACACTCGTACCGATAAGAGAAAACAAGTGGTAAGGAAATTCACAAAACGTATCGACATCGGCTGTCATCAAGGTCATGATGTGGGCTCGGGTCGAAAAGTCGCTGGTGTGGCCTTCTTCAGTGTCTTCCACCGCAATAGGTGTCTCAGTCGATACTGAACCGAAAGCGACGTCTTTGCGGACCAGCGTCTTGGCGAAGAGAATGGAACTAAGTTGACTCTTGAGGCGCAAATGCATGCCATTGACGGACAACGACCACAAATGTACCGAGACTGTCCAATTATTTAGCTAAAACCAGGACCATCAATTTAAAAGCCTCACTAATCTGGGTCATCAACGCTGTTGTGAATAGTGCAGCGACGAAGAAAAAGCCCCAACTTCGGTCTTTCCGCAAGGGATCCGCTTCGAGGTATGAGATGACCTTTTTGAGAAAGAAAGGAGGAGCATAGTCGAGAACTGCACATGAAGATGCCCACATGAACTGCATAACAAGTCCGGGTTTGTTGATGCAGACCAGCCTGTAGCCAAGGGTCCATCCACTGCCAGGAAGAGGTCTCCAGGAGCCCACTTTGAAGGTGATGGTTTCCATAGCGCGTTTCATGTTTAGATAGCTGAAGGCGGACCGAAAACCAAGAGGAATGATTGGCAGGTCGCCAATTTCCAGCGCTTCTACTTTGTTTCCGAGCAATATGACTTTGGTCGAATATGAAAAGAGAATGCAGTCCCACCACGACGCGCCTATAGCATTCATGAGTAGGCGACCAAGGGCAAGGCAATAACTACGCACTAGTGACACTGCTGACATTCTTCTGGTCAGGATTCGTGGTAGGTTGGATTGTTTTCTGGCCATATATTGCTTCTGCTGGATAATGCAATGGAGGACCCAGTGGAGTCGTCACAGCCAAGAGCCACCCCATAAAATCCAGTCCTGTTATTGCATACCACAAGGGCAACTGACGCGAATTAGAAGTGTCGAATACATGTATTAGAGGATCTTTGGCGGGTAATAAAGCAGAAGTAATGAATAGCAATGTAGCAAAAGCCAGAAGAGCGGAGAGATGCGTCATGGACTCTGTATGAGCTCGCATGGAATGTTGACGAGTCGACCTGATTGCCAATACGAAGATGTATACTGAAGACAACAGCAGAATCGAGTGACTGGGGATGGCGAGGCCCTCCAGGACCGACTGAACGAGAATGCCGATGGACAGGACAAGACTGACGGACAGGACCGCAACCAGTACCAGCTTCCTGTTCCTCAGCTAAATCGGAAATCATCGTAAAGACCTTCAGATCACGCAGAAAACACGTACCCTTGTCCAAAAGGCCTGTTCATCAATGGGAAAACCGTCGACCAGGTCTATTGGCTGGGTGACATTGAAGGGGTCCAAGTTTTCCTCTTCGACGGGAAGCTGAATCTTGCCCTTGGTCGGTCTGGATAGATAGAGGTCGAGCAAGCTGAGGCCGACAGCAACGCCTGAGCTAACGGCAACGGCCAGCAGATACTGGGGCATTGTTAAAAACGGGAAAAAGCATGACAGCAGGTGCCGCCAAGCCCGGGTTAATATTGAAGACTGTTCGGGATGCGATGATGCTGCTCTCAGATGGCGGCCCTCGCCACTGTTCCGTTCGTTGAAAGACGGTCGAGCTCAAGCAGACGGAGTTTTATTCCCGAATATTCACGCTGAAGGACGCAAGCCGGATTCCGATTTGCGAGTCTAGACTGTATCTAGGCCCTGGACCAGGCTCTGGACACCGAATATCCCACAAGTTATGACGTATCTCCAAAACTATGGCTCAACTTGGAGCGTCCAGCGCCATGATACAAACTTGGTTAAAGAAAAGCCCGAAAGAAAAAAAATCGGCTCAAGTAACTGACAGAAACTTGATGAACAAAACAAAAGATGAAGGTCCTGCCAGGGTTCGAACCTGGGTTTCGGGAAGTTTAACAATGTCAAAATCCCGAGTGATAACCACTACACTACAGCACCATTGATATTCAGCGACTCAGATTACTCTATAAGAATGCTTCCTTGGAGATCGCCTTTTTGAACCATGCCCACTCAAGGAAAAATGTCGTTGGATTCCTCCACTTTTCCGATGCATGCAAATACATTAGTAGTGGATTAGGCTAGTTCTATACCAGAAGATCTACCAGAACTTGCCAAAGACACTGCCCCGACCTGTCGGCCCCAACAGCATGCCCATTCCCTCTTGCAATTGTAATGCAACGCTGACTGGTCGCATAGGTGCTGAATCAAATACATGGGGACCTTGTGTGAATTGAAGAATCAGGACTTGTAAGATTTTGGCCAACTTTTGACTTACATGGTTGCAGTAGAGAATGCGACGTCAGTCTAGGATTCTCAAGCTCGCGCTCAAAGATCGATGGTTGACGAGGAGTCGCTGCTAGTTGGTCATAGGTTGGATTCTCAAACTGTGCTCGCGCTGTACGAAGCCGGTTCAGAACCTATAGTAAAAATGAGGTCTGGCAAAACTGTCGTAGAAGCGAATGTTACCTGCTCATAAAAGTCAATCTCGCCGTCGAGATGCTCTTGTGTTATTGCAGCAAAGTCTTCGCACTTTTGAGTGTGATATGTCTCCATCTCTGCCATGGTCGAATTTAGGACAGTTTCACACCGTGATGCCATTTCGTCGTCCGTCTGGATATTCTGATAAGATTGGGGCAAAGAGATATCAATGTGACCTACATGACCTTCCTTTGTAGCTTCACGGTATCGCGTCAGAGTAGATTTGTGGGTGCTGACTACGCCCTGCAAAAGGTAACAGTGTCAGAGTCGATCAATAAACAATGCCAGGACCAACCTGGTATAGAGATGATGGATGAGCGACACTTTTCAAAGCTTCATGTGTGACCAATTGCGTCCGTCGCGCCTAGAAACATTTCAACTCTCATAAAGCATTTCAGTTAAAGGACCACCTACATGATCATCGTAGAGATCTGCGACGCTGTGCAAAGATTCACAGGTCTTTTGCATGGCTTTCGTGAGTTTTAGACAATCTGGTTGAAAACTTGAATCCCAGTGTCCGTCGTAAGCTAAGAGCAAACTTACCCTGACAACCTTCCCGCCAACACCAAGCTCCGTCATGATTCATTAAACCCTTGTCCTTGGAGGTGTATTCTTCATCTTCTTCTGCGACCCCAGTTGTAGGTGCTGATGCCAGAGGTTTGGAGGTTATCAAAGACAACAATGAATACGACAAGAGTCGCTCGGCTTCCGACATCTCTGTAGATGTTTGGTTAGTCCACAACCAGCAAGAATCCACAAGGTTTCACCGATTCGTGCTTGTCTGACTCTCCCAAAGATATTTCGAAGACCTTGAACACCCTTTCCGACTGCTTTGGTATGGGTACTAAACCGAACAACAGCTTCTTCCGCGTCTTCAAGGTCCAGGTTGAAGGCTGGATGGAATACTCGAGCGTAAAAGGAGGGACCAGCAGCAGGCAATGATAGATGATATGAGACCAGTCGTTTCCATTCCTGATTGTTAATCAGCGATGGTCATGTAAAAGCGTGTCGTCTCACCATGTCGCTCTCGCAGCTCAGGAAAAAGGTCACAACTTCAGCGTATCTCGCAACAGGGTGACGAACGACTTTGCTGAGATAGCGTTCGAGATCTCCTCTTCGAGCCTCGACGAAATCTTCGCTGAACCTTCCAGCATATTGCTTCTCGGGCAGCGGCGGAAGCGCAATTCCAGGCAGTCGTCGCGTTAGAGCTGTATGGAGAATGACAAAATGAGAATATCGTCGTTGAACCGTGATTCTTGTCGGTGAAACCGGTTCGTATGATTCTGGTTCTGGAGGGTTGTAAAAGAGAGACGTGACATTGTAAATCGTGAAACCTCCAGACAAGGTAGAGGTCCGTTTTGAAGGTGAATGGACCATAACTCGGAAAGGAGGCAATTTTTCCTTCCAAGAGTGGTTGCTATCCACGAAATGCTTGTCGGCTTCATCCAGCCCGGTTGTGCTGAGACGACTGCGAGCCTCCTCTTCATCGCCTACCGAGTCGATAGTCGCAAGCTTTTGGTGAGACGCAACTGGAACTTCTGAGACCACTGTATCTGCCGCTGTGCCCTTGAGAACCCATTCTTCTGCCCCACTGGTAACAAAGCTCGAGAATCTGTTCAGGCTTTTGCCTCCCAGCAGACTCTGTCGAAAGCTAGGAAAGGCCCAGTCGCCTGTGTGCTGTGGAATGATTGGTAATGCAGCGACCTGTGAAGTCGGAGAGCCTCTTGGAGTAAGAGAGCTGGATGAAGCCTCTCGTCTCCGGGAGCTGGAACGGAATCGGGAAGCAGAAACGTCAAGATCAGGCGCAGGAGTGAAATCTGCTGTAAACTGGCTGCCGATTAGAAGGATAGCTTGAGAAAAGAGATGGAAGGAACGGACAGTGTAATAGCTTCTGGGCAGCAACCCAATGTCGCCGTTGTCAATGCTCTTGACAAGACTCCATCCGTCTGCTAGATTCTCCTTTACGACCTCAAGCTCTTCTCCGGCTTCGACAGTAAGCTCTCTGAATTCTGCTTTTCCTTCAAAATCGTACAGACATCGAGCGGGCCGATGGGTTCCAGGGTCGTCTTCACTTTCATCTTCCGATAGAGATGAACCTGATTCAAGGTGTTCCGTCCAGGCCGTAGACGTATTTATTCCAGAGTCAAACTCGGATTGGGGTCGCGCAATGAAACGACTAGATGAAGGAGATTTCTGAGCCCGGGGAAGCGTAGCCATGGGATTCGGAAACGGAGAGAAATAAAAGGGGCTACAATGCACTACAATGACAGATCATTTTGGTATCCACTCTCTATAATCTCCTAGACCTTTTCACGATTCAATAGACGTAGGGTCTCCATATCTGGTATACAGCCTTTGGCCCGCAGATAGATCGCGATATCTTGAGCATCACATTTCACTGCAATTTTCAGCATCTTCGGGGTCAACTCAACCCTGTCCTCTAGCTTGCACCTCTTCGCGCCTCTTTTCTCGTTGGGTTCCACAAGCATCTTCACTAGAGCCAGGTTATGTTGATGGATAGCGACCAGGACGGAGGCTGCATCGTTAAGCTTCGGTGATGCCCCATGCTCCAGGAGAAACTGGATCAGTGGAATGAATTCTGCATTCACGGCTCGCGTCAAAGCGTAGCCATCGTAAGAGTCAACGTGAGGCTTGATGCCTGGCAGAGAATAAAGATGTCGGAGAAAAGGTAATGGATGGTCATCGTTCGTCCATTCGTTCGACTTTCGCAGGTGGCGGAACAGACGACGAGGCAGGTCGGGATCGTGGTTCCAGGTTGGACCACATTTTCGATGGAGCACTGTAAGCGTCTCTTTCGAACAGATTGGGTACCGCAAGGCGCTTCCGTAGATGTTTGAGGGTGACACTCGTCTGAGAATGTATTGCGCACGGAATAGAGGCGATGATGCATGAAAGACATCGTAAAGCCTCTGGGACACCCGTGGCAGCGCATCCGATAGCGCCATGAGCTGGATTTCATAGAGGAGCTGGGGTTTCGTGAATTATACAGTGATGCAAGGCTTCCTGACACGAACCTCGACAGGTAGTTTTTCCATCGTGAACGCGTGAATCCAGGCTCAGCTCAAATCTTCCGGGTGGCCGAGTTGAACTTGAATGGAGAGGCGAAAATAAATTCCGGGAAAACAGAAAATGTTTGCCAGCCGCGAACATTTGGGCGAAGATTCCCACCGCAAACGTCGGCCGGATCGATTTTCGCCGTGCTGTTCACGGCCGGCGAAGATATTTTTTCCCCCGGCCACCAAAATAAGTAAAGCATTATCGCCGGTCATTTTCACGGCCGGCGGGCAGCCGTGAGCTTGAAAAGTGCTTGGCATCAAAAGATACACGTGCTCGGCATCTCGGCAAGGGCGCCCACACAAAATGTTCACCCAACTAGGATCCACCAACATACAGTAGGCTCGTTGTTCGCCAGCACCCAATACTGGCTTTTCACCATCGCCGAAGATGGCCACCGTAGCGCACCTAGACCTGATCTCGGAACCATATACTTAAACTCAGAAAATTTATGGGCTTCTTGGATATAACTCAGCCTACTTATGAGTCGATATCCAAATACGTAGGACAAACGAGGCCGTTGATACAACATCACCTCCCGGTTCTTGCATGTTCTCTCGGTCTCAAAAAGTGAGGGAGCCTCCACGAACCACCAGACCAGTCTTCATATTGGCAAAACCGTGTTCAGATCCTATGTCTCTTATGTCCGTGGAATTGAGTTGGAATATAATCTCATCGCTTGTTGCAAGTTCGGCTTGTCTGGGACATTCGCCATCCAGTGACCACTGGAAGCCGCAAAGTGGAGCGTCGCAGTGAATTTCGTCGAAGATGGTGACTGCGTTGCCTAAAATTCCAATGTCAGCGTGCATCAACTCTTTGGGAATGTACAAACTAGTGAATGTGACAGAATATTTCAGGCTGTTGTCGATACTGGGACTGTTCAGCCCGTGCGAAGTCGCTTGAAAACATCCAGGCATAAGTGGGTTCACACCTTATCCTGGACTGAAAGTGAAGCATTTTTTCGACGAGGAACCTTGACAAAGGCATGCATCATCAATCGAAAGGTATGGTGGCTGAGCGGAAGTCATTTGAGATGTGGAAAATGTTTGAAATGGATGAGTCATGGCATGTTTCAAGGCCATGAAATATGAACAGTCCACTGGTCTGGCAGATCCGAATTTCTCTGGTGGCGTCCAAATGAAGAGACGAGTCTCGGTGTCTCGAGTAAGTTGCCATAACAGTAGTAGCCAAAGCTCATTAATGCAGCGCTCACAGCCCAAGGTTCGTCCACGTTGCGGTTATTCAGCGCATTCTTTTGTCATTCCACCCGGACGTGGCTTCCGATCTTGATAACCCATACGATCACTTGAGATCCAACGCTCATCAGTCTAGAGTCATAGACGTCAATGTTGGAAAGCAGAGGTACCGAAAACATCGAACGTCGA